GGCTCGGCACCGAACCGGCTCGGGACGCGGCACCCCCAACCGCTTTGGGGGGGGGGGGGGCTGCCCGCCGGAGCCCGTTCCCAGCAGCCGGGCGGGGCGGAGCTGAGCGGGGTTTGCCGCTGCCGGGAGTCCCCGGCGCCCTCCCGGCGCTGCGAGGGCGGATCGGCGGCGGCAGGGCTTGGGGGGGGGCTGCGCCGTGCGTATTTTGGGGAAGGCGGTGGAGGAGGAGGAGGGAGAGAAAAAGGAGGAGGAGGAGGAGGAGGGGGCTGTGGAGAGACGTAAAACTGTCACTCGTTCCATCCCCTCCGCTCGCCGACTTTGTGTGCCTTTGCGTGCCGAGAAGCGGCTCAGCCGGCCGGGCTGCGATCACCCCCCCCCCAACCCCCTTCATCCCTCTCTTCCCGGCTCCGGCGGTTCCGGCGGCGGCTTCCTCCCTGCAACACCCGCTCGGACCCCCCGGGGCACCGGGGTTCTGGCGCGGCCGCGGCTGCCGGGGCCGGCAGCGGGGAGGCGGGGGAGGCTGCTCAGAGCCGCCGCCGCTCCGCTCCGCGCTGCTCCGCTCGCACACCCGGCACGGGATGCTTGCGGGACGGGGCTGGCAATGGCAGCTCCCGCTGCTGCTCGCAGCTCTCTCCTGCCTGCCGGCTCCCAGCAGCGCTCAGCTCCGCTACTCCGTGCCCGAGGACCGAGAGCCGGGCTCCTCGGTTGGCGACCTGGCCAAGGACCTAGGGGTGGAGGTGCGGAACCTGGCCACTCGCAACTTGCGGCTGGTGAGCGAGGGTGGGCAGCGGCACTTCCAGGTGGACTTAGCGGCGGGCGTGTTGCTCCTTGATAGGAGGCTGGACCGGGAGGCACTGTGTGGGCAGAGCCCCACGTGCTCCCTACACCTCCAGCTCGTCATGGAGAATCCCCTCCAGCTCCACCGTATTGAGGTGGACGTCCTCGACGTGAATGACAACGCGCCCCAGTTCCCTAAGCCAGAGGTGGTCTTGGAGATCACCGAGGTAGCCAACCCTGGGACTCGGCTACCCTTGGAGGTAGCAGAAGACCCGGATATGGGCTCCAACTCCATCTCCACCTATGAACTCAGCCCCAGCGAGCATTTTGCCCTGAGTATCAACATGAGGGGGGATGGGGTTAAAATGCCCGAGATCATACTTGAAAAAGCACTGGATAGAGAGAAAGTGCCTGTTCATCATTTAACACTGACAGCCCTGGATGGAGGGAATCCGGTGAAATCTGGCACTGCCAAGGTTACCATCCATGTCCTGGATGCAAATGACAACCCTCCTGTCTGTGATCCACCTATATCCAAGGTACAACTGGAGGAGAATGTACCAGTGGGCACTCTAGTCACCAAGTTAAATGTCACCGACCTGGATGAAGGTCCCAACGGGGATGTGGAATATTCTTTCAAAACAAGCAATAATTCACCTGGTAAATTCACCAAGCTGTTTTCCTTAGATCCCCGGACAGGGGAGATCAGAACCAAAGCCCCCCTGGATTATGAGGAATCCAGTGCTTATGAGATTGCAGTTCGAGCCAGGGACAAGGGATCTCCAGCCATGGAAGGACACTGTCACCTGCGAGTGGAATTAATTGATATCAATGATAACAGCCCAGAGATCGTGCTGACTTCTCTCTCCAGCCCAGTGCAGGAGGATGCAACCCCTGGCACTGTGATTGCCCTCATTGGTGTGAAGGACAGCGATTCTGGTGACAATGGGCAGGTCCGTCTGCAGATAGCAAAAGAGCTCCCATTTAAACTGGTGTCATCTTTTAAAGAGCATTTCTCCCTGGTTACAAATGGTCCCCTTGATCGAGAGAGGGCCAGTGGATACAATATCACAGTGAGGGCTGTGGATTCAGGGTTCCCACAGAGGGCTACCCAAAAGACCTTTTACCTCCAAATCGCTGATGTGAATGATAATGCACCAAACTTCAGCAGCCCTTTTGATACAGCTCACGTTCAGGAAAACTCCCTTCCTGGAACTTCTGTCTTTTCAGTGTCAGCATCTGATCCTGATGAGGGTAGCAACTCCAAGCTGTCTTATTCCATCTTGGACAACGGGGTGCAGGATATACCCATCTCGACCTACTTCCGAATAGACCAGGACAACGGCACCATCTACACCTTGCGAGCTCTGGACTATGAGCAGGACAAGGTGTTCCAGGTGCCTGTGGAGGTGAAGGACGGTGGGTCTCCTGCACTGAGTAGCACTGCTGTGGTACATGTGTTTGTCCTGGATGAGAATGACAATGCCCCCACCATTGTCTACCCATCTGTCCCTAAGGGCTCGGCTTTCCACCAAACCATCCCGGTCTTGGCAGAACCTGGCTATCTGGTCACCAAAATTGTAGCTGTTGATGCTGATAGTGGCCATAACGCCTGGCTGTCCTACCAGCTGCGGGAGACTGCTGAGGCTTTGCCTTTCCAAGTGGAACGCCGCTCTGGAGAGATAAGGGTTGCACAGGCTCTCAGAGAGTCGGAAGATCCCCACAGGCTGGTGGTTGAAGTGAGGGACAATGGGACACCATCCCTCTCGGCCTCTGTGGTAATAGTAATTTCTCCAGAGGAAAACGGTGTGCAGGACTTTTCCAAGTCCTTGGACCTCCCCAAATCTTCTCCCAAGGATACCAACCTAACTCTTTACCTCATCATCTCCTTGGTTTCCATTTCCCTTGTGTCCTTTGTGATGTTTGCTGTGGCAGCTGCCCGGTGTCTCAAAGCTGGCACTGCCAGCTGGACCTTTGCGGGTTGCTGCCGAGGGACTGGCCGCAAACCTGCCTCCCATTTCCGTGGACAAATGAAGCCAGATGGCTTCATCAAGTACCTGGACGTGGGAGGAGCAGGCTTGACCTCCCAGGCACAGAATTACACCTCTTGTTTTTCGCCCATGTCTGACCAGAGTGATTTCCTCTTTGTAAAACCTTTCAGCCATTCTAGCACTGCAGAGACTGTGGCTGCCTATGAGCAGGTGACCAGCACCTTAGCAAGTCCCTGCGATGGGGTAAGAAAGGGGGGGGGGTTCTTGCTGTCCTGTCTGCTAAGTGCAGTGGTTGGTAACATCCAGGCCAGTTGGCTGTTCTGTCCTTCTACCTGAGAAGGTGGCTTCAGGGAACATGGGTCACTGTCACCTCCTGGGAAGTGGCAGGTGAAAGCTTTGGCTCGGTTTGATGGAAGTAGGGAAGGGGGTGGTCAGCACTATAACATCAGAGACTGTATTTGTAGAGCTGGAGTTTTGCCTTGGCCCCGTTCGTACTCTTTCCTTTTTAAAGTGATTCTTAGCATGGTCAGGAATATGATTTTTGGGGGTGTTTAACTTTTTGATTCTTTTAACTGCTGCTTGTTACAAGGGGGTTGGACTTAGATGACCTTTGAAGGTCTCTTCCAACCCAAACTACTCTATGGTTCTATGATTCTGCATGGCATACAAGATTGTCTGAAAGCAAAGTTTGTTGGTGTTTCTTTTGCTTTGTTTTAGAGGTGTATTGTAGGTATTTCTCCTTAACCCCCAAGTGTTATTAAATACTGATTGTTCTCTGGTAAGGGGTCATTTTCCAGCTTGGTTATTCTGAGCAAGGGGCTGATTTCACTATTCAGCACTGAACATAGTGACATTTTTTGCAAGCATCTTGGTGACCTTAGGTGCCCTTGGGCTAGCAGAGACTGTAGCCGTTTATATTCAGATGTCTAAATATGGATGTAGGTGACTGTGTTTAGCTGTAGCTTTTATGATGCTGGGATATAAAAAGTAAAGTAATTTTGTGTCATAAATGCCTGCCCTAAATTTGAAAGTGGTAATTAGACAGGAATTCAAAATATAGATTGAGAAGGGCTTATCTAGTGCAGGAGTGTGTGTGCAGAAATGTGTTTCTCAAATCTGAAGGGCAAGTGTTTAAACAGCTTTATTTGCATGCCGCTTGGGTACCAATAGGGCCTCTATTTTAGGGGAGTAATTTATTCTAATATATTCTTTCATCAGAATCATCAAAGCTGTGGAGAAATTAGTGAAATCACATTTACTAAATCAAAATCTAGGTCAGCTTTACCCATCTTCACTTTTCCTTAGTAATTGCGTGTACAAGCAGAATAATCCTATAAAATAGATGTTCCGCTGTATGGATGATGAACTGCTCATTCAGAAGGTAACTGAGAGAAATGCTGTTCTTTCCAGGTTGCATGTTATCATTCTGGAGTTAATTAAGGAGATTATGATTCTCGGAAGTATGTGTCTTCCAGACAGCAAACAGTTCTGCTATTTAGTGCACTTCACAAAGGCATGATTCAAACAGGAATACACAAGCTTGCTTCATGTCCTTCCTTATTTACAAAATGTCCATTGTCTGATGGTGAAATAACACAGGCAGAAAGTGATACAGGGGCTTACTAATGAGGTGTGCTGCTGTGTCCAAAGTTGATTGTGTCTCCTAAACAAATAATGCTTTTTCTTTTGCTGTCGGAAGTTCATTCTCTTTGTGGACAGAAAAATATTGCAATGCTCTGAGGGCACAACATCTAGGAAAAATCATTCAAATACAATGTGTGAGATCAGGATCTCAGGCAGGCCTTTTTAAGAACAGAAGGACAGATTAGGAAGGTCTGTTTCCATTTTACCTTCTGGCATTAAAAGCATCTTTCTCAGGATCAACTACCACCCCCACTCCCTTGCTCCTCCAAGCTCATTACTTTGGTACCATCGCTCCTGCTGAATTGATGCTCTTATCAGTTTATTTCATGCTTAATTTCTTTCACAGCCTGGTTTCCTGAGCTGCTGTGGAAGATTATTTGCTGAATAGTTTTTTTCATGCTTTTCAGTATTCATGCTGGTTCAGAAATCCTCAAGAAAGGAGGAGGGGGAGCTTTCCTTTTGTTCTAATTGATTCGCTTTACTTGGAAGGAACACGCTGATATTCCACACTGAAATAATCCAGGATCAGTTCGCTTTCATTTTCAAATCAAGAACGGAGGTACTAAAACTCTTCTGTTTTCTTTGCAGCAAGCTCAGCCTAACACAGACTGGCGTTTCTCTCAGACCCAGAGACCTGGAACCAGTGGGTAAGTGTCTCTATCTTCATGTATATGTCTGGTGAATGTTTCTTTCCTTTGCATGCCGCTTTCACGGCTGGAAAGTCCTTGACTGGTAGCTCTGAGAATGGGTGTTCCCTGTCACTGCTAGAATTGTCCATCTAAAGAGTCAGAAAGTGTTGCTTCTGTGCCAGCTCTGTTTTGTGGGGCTGTAAGCTGTTGTTTGCAATGGTGTGTCTGGTTCTGGTGTCAGGAATCAGAGGGACCTTCAAGTAAAGTTGTGAGATGATTAAGAGACTGGAAAGCATGCTTCACAGAGAAAGGTTTCTTCTCTGAAACACATTTTGAGCATTTAGACTAGATTGAGTCCAAAATCTTGATTCCTCCTCATGAACAGATGCCACTAGAAATCACCATGAGTTCCTTTACCAGTCATGAAGCCTCAGGCTCTGTGCTGCTGAAGGGTATTGCCCGCTCTGCCTGTGTTAGCCCCTGTGGCAGCCAGAGTTTGGGTGGCTGAGCCCCAGGTCCCCAAAGGCCCCTCTAGAGAAATGTATCCCAACCACATCTAACTCAGCAAGATCAAGTCCCTCGTGAAATGCCACTATGTGTGCTTTCTCCTGTGAGCTAATCTGGCTGAATCAGGGTTGGGACCCCTGGATCCAACTCTGTTGGGAAGCTTGAAACCTTTCTGGAATTCTTTGGGAAGTGGGATCACCAACATGGGATGGTTCATTCAGGTGAGGAACACTCTCCATGCTTCCCACTGGAGCTGGGTAACTGGGCAGGGAGAGGCTAAGGAGGAAATTAATGGTTCAGGAGACTCACAGGAAGGGTATCTCCTAAGGTCTGGTCTTGCTGTCAAAGCCATGGCTGAGTTTTTGCATGTGATGTCAAAGATAAGAAGCTGGGGCTGCAGAGACCTGCCTCCCAAAAGTACCCCTCTTGTGACTGTGTGCTTTTGCCTCTGGCCCAGCAGTTTGCTTTTCTTGGCCCATGGTGAGAAAGCATTGACAAGAGAATGTTGAGCAGGTGCCCTTCACCTCTCCCGTCTTCCCTCCTGGTCCATAAGCAAGAGGCAGGGATCCTCTTCAAAGAGTGAATTTATTTGAGTACCATCAGGGTAAGAAAGGACTTAAACTTGGGAGTCCACCTTCCTCTGTGTATACTTCAACCAGACCAGAAGTTATTGTGTATGATGAAACTACCTCCAGGATAACTTATATGTGAAAACATTGTATTCTGGGGGGAAACTGAAGGATTATACCCTTGGAGCAGTCAGGAGTAAATTCGGATAATGTGCTGCTTTGGCTGGCTGTGGAAAAGAGAGAAGCTTGTACCTCTGTGCTTTGTCGTTCCTAGTGACCACTTGAGCAGCTCCTGTGGAGGTTTGCATGGTGCCACAGGGAGTGTTGGGTCTTGGATTTGTGTTGGAGTTTGCAGTAAAACATATGTGGTAGCTGCTTGTGTCCGAGTCTGCCTGGGTCTGGCTTGATAATTTAGCTTAACAGAAAATTAAAAGCCTGCTATAGCCAACTTGTTGCAGTGATTAAGCTTTGTTACTAGGCTCCTCTAGCTGACAAGGCTAAAATGGAGTGAGCCTTTGGAGTTAATTCCTACTAGAAACCAGCCATGGACTTTAAAACAAGGCCGTTGCTGGAATAGTTTTCTCAGAGGTCTGTTGAGTTCCCCATCACTGACAACATTTTAATCAGGAAAAGTCTTTCTATCCATTTACGCTCTAGATCCAATGACAATTAACAAAGCTCTGTTAATGCAGAAGTGCACCAGAGCTGCTGTAATAGCTTTGTTACAGAAGCAAGTAAATGAGCTCCATCAAAGCAAGCTCTATTGCCCCCTCTTCTAGCATCATGCTGGTGCTCATCAAGGCACAGATCTGGTGCAGTCCAGACCTACTTAACTCAGTGACAGGAACCTCTTCTCAGGTCATGGGGCAGTGACCCTCACCCCAGCCTCTGCTGAAGGCTCTTTATATCTCCAGCCCCTTTGCAGTGCCTAAGAGGGAGCAGCAGCACGTGGGGTGGGAAGAGAGAGGACAGGAGGAAAGCCTCAGAGAGCTGAACTAGCCCAATGTGTTGTTTCTGCTGCATGAGCCGTGTTACCCCTGGTGATCTGTGACCTGGGTGTCCACAGTAGTCCCTGAAACAGCCGCTAGGAGCTCATGTCAGTGCTGTTGTGTTAGGGGTTCCTGTAATATGGGCTGCCCAGGCTGGCCCTTGGGTTTGGAGAAGGACTTTGTCTAAGCACAGGCTGGTACTGAAATTACTCAGTGGATTTTAATTCCTGCTGCTTTCCCCCCTGCCTGTGTGCAGATGCCACATTTGCAATGAAACAGCTCTCTTTTTTGAAAAAGAATTTTTTTCTTGTTTCTTTTATCCTGTTTTTAAGTTAAATTGAGGGAGGTGTTCTTATTCTAAACCTGTGCCACAATAGTAAAGGAAGGGAACAGAAAGTGGTATCATATGTTCAGTGCCCAGCCCTGATGTCTTCCTAGACATCAAACAGGCAAATCCTGGAGAGCAGTCTGCTCCCCGTTGTGCTCTTCCCAGCGTTTTGATGTCTAATGTATGCATTCCCCAGGCACTGGCTGGTAGTGTAGGTAATGAAGAGGCTGCGGGCCTGAGTCCTGCCCGCTGTTACTCTCTCCAATGTTAGCTCACACCATGAGCCCTCTGAACTGCAGGGCTCTGCTTGGTGCTTGGGGAATGCAGGCCACCTATTAGATGAAAAGGTAAAAACAGGACATGCTTTTAGCTGTATTTGTCTGACCCAAATTAAATAGCAATAAAGACAAGACAGTTTAGGCTTGTGGTTTGAATGGATCCCAGAAGGAGTGCTGTACTGACCCTAAACCAGAAAGCAGGTTTAAATGCATGTTGTGATTTCTCCTTTGCTGTCTTCATGGGAATTGGAGAAGGAACAATTCTGTCTTTTCTCAGCATAATTCTGCCCACTGAAACAAATCCCACATGTCTCTGAGCACCTGGAACCAGGTGAAACTCCGAGTAAGCTCAGTAAGGGACCATCTCTCAATCCCATATATCGCTGTTATGGGACAACAAAGAGAATTTGTTCTTTGTCCTGAAGTGCAGGGGAGCTCTGGTGCACGTGCTTAGGAAATAAGAGTTCAGACAATATCCTCTGAAAATATGGCAGAGAGTCAGACCTGAGTAGAGCAATTCTCACTTGTTGGGGAGAAACAGGAGGAGAGATATAAATGAATTAATTTAATGATGGTCTTGTTTTCTAAAACCAAAAAACCACCCATGCTGTCTCTGGGCAAATGTGGATGAATACAGAATGATACCAAGCAGCAGATGCTATTCCCAGACAAATCAGATCAGTGGCTGTAGTGGAGATTACAGTGATGAATTGTCCTAAGTGAAGTAGACGTACAGTCTGGCAGTGTTGCAGGACATCGCTTGGGATCATTGGGATTTCCCGGTTGGGAAGTGGGGTGGCATGCGGGGGGAGAATGCAGGGACTGGCATTGGTACAAGGGACCTATCTTGTTGCTTTGTCACTAGTTGCCAAAGAAAGAGAGAGCAGGCTTGTGCCCCACATGTTCCTGATATTTGCCTGACCCCGGTAGCTCTTTGTTTTGATCTCTGTGTGATGGTTTATGCAGGAAAACACCAGGATCAAGTCAGGGTTTCCTGCCTGGAGGAGTGGGGAGGGCTCTGTGTTGCTCACAGGTGGGCATGGGAGGGTGAGACATCCAGGGCTGGGAAGAACTGACATGTTCTCAGCAGATCATGGGAAGAGTGGGGATAGTCTCAGGCCATGTGGGCAAGGTAGAAGTTGATCACAGGCAGGAGGCACACCAGAGACCATGGTGGGGGACTTGAAAGGAGGTGAGGAGCAGTGTGAGAATCCCTGGTCACTCCAGGGGAGGGAGGAGCAAAGCATACAAAGAAGATATAAAGTGCCATTTCACACACATCACCTCCCCCCCCATTTATCCCCTCCAATCCTGAATCTCCCTGTGTTAATGCTTTCCAATGCTGTTGCGAGGCAGACTCCCCCTCCAAGCCCCAGCACAGCCAATAGTGAAATTCATCATCCCCTGCCTGTGCAGTGGAAGGAAGGAAAGTGCAACAGGAGCGGTTTGGGGCTGACAGTGGGGATGCTGCAGCAGTGCCCACCAGAGAGCCATGAAGGAAAGGAGGGTTTTTTGTTTGGGTTACACACAACAGCTCCAGAAGTTGGGCTTGTAGGACTAGCAGCAGCCTGCCTGTGTGTGGTGGGGGACAGGGAGGGGAAAAATGTGCCCCAATATGGTGCTTAAAGCTCTCAGAAGCATTCTTGGGCCTCAGAGCATGCAGGTACCACCAAAGGGGGGCTGCAGCTTGGGGTGGCTTCTGGTGTATGTTTGGGGTCATTAGGAGGTCCTGCGTGACACCCCACTGTACCAGGACATGCTCTGCCAATGAGACCCCATATGTGTGTGTCTTGTGGGACATCCCAGAGCATGCAACAGCTGGGGCAGAGTATAGAGAGAAGGAGACATGGACATTTATAGACTTACACAGCACAGGGGAGGATACACAGCAGAAAGACAACTGGCCACAGATGGTTTGCCACATCCTTCCTAAAAAGAAGCCATAGGGGAGTTTGTGGGTGTTGCAACCCCTTGGGAACTTATATTGCAAGTTTGTTTAATGTTATAGTGGACACAGTAGCAAGTGCTATAAAGCACATGCACGGATGCACCAGCAGGGATGTATAGGGCAATGCTGATGGATTTGCCTTCTGTTTACTCTTTCACTGGAAGCGAGTGAAAATGGGCACGTGCTGGGCAGCCTGCAGAAGTCAGGAGACAGGCGTCAGGACAGGGGCACCTGGAGAACATGCAGCTAGCGGGATGCAGACTGCAGTAGAGTCATCGTGGGTCAGGGAAGGCCAGGAGCCCTAGGAGTGACTGCTGGCACTTGTGGGCTCTGCAGGATTCCCATTGACAGTGTCAAGAGAAGCAGAAGGAGCAACTGCCACACTGGGAAGTTTAGGAC